TGGGGGAAGGAAGACCACCCTCACCCGCGCCGCCAGGAGCGAATGAGCCTTCAGAAAACAAAAAACTTGTCATGTCATCATTATATCTACACCTACAGGCCTATCCGCTTGTCATAAAGGGGCCGTTCGACTGCTCAGGCACCCTGTAGTCCCCAGCAGGGGGTCCAAGCAGGGGTGGACAGGGCCTCCCTCCTCAAGCTGCTCCTGGGAGCACCAGGGCACCCATAGAAACCCACCGTCCGAATTCGCACCCCGGTCCGCCAGGCCCACTCGGCCGCACGTGGGTTCGGCCATTTTCAGTGCAGCTGATCTCCGTGCCGACCGATCCGTGCTGTAAACACACACCGAGCCTCCGGAGCGCGGAGGGCGGCCTGTGTCTGTCTCAGAGCCCCGAGCACCAGCAGGAGTCACGCTGTCTCTTTTTCACTCTCCAGGACAGGTACTAGTGCCTGGAGGATCTTCTTCAAATGCAAAGGCATTTTGAAGTCTGTTTTACACACAGGAATGTAATACAACATTACAGGAATGAAATGTATCCAGCATACATTTTCATATGTGTTCCACGGAAATATGTAAAAGACTAATTCTATGCCGAAGAGCAGAAAGTAGAAACACAACTTTTCAGTTGCTGGTTCTCCTTCAGCTATGAGCTCCCACGGGTCCTGGTCCAAACTTGAACCCAGCAACAGGTAACTGTGGAGTATGAGCAGGCGTGTTTATGAAAAACAATATGTCCCATTGATTAGTTTAAAAGTTCCCATCCACTAGAAGTCATGAAGAAATCAAATATATATTTTTGGGGTTGTGCTGCAGGAATTCATACGGGTCACTGACATATCGGAAATCCGTCGCTAAAGTGCGGCGAATCAAGCTGGAAGCCGAACGCGCGCATTTACAGGAAGACCGAAGAGAGGAATCAATGTTGCGAGGAACAGAAATGATTCGTGCGCGCGTTTCCGGCCGGACAGGGTCGACTGGGACACAGGGTGTACAACTTGTGGAGAGGAGGAGAGCGAAGTCGGGACGGCAGGTTGACTGGTGATCTGTGTAGTACCGCGTTTTTGAGCTTCCCCTACAACGATAAGGCGCTTGTGACTGTCGAATTGGAAAAGCTAAATTAAAACCAGCGATGTCCGCGCTTGCATCTCGCTTTATGTCGTTATGGTCCCGACAGAGTAATACGCTGTGGTAAGTCCTTGATGTTTGCAGATGAAACACCATGCTTTTATTTCCAAGATCATTTTTATCAGAGCTCAGCACGAGCAGGCAGTGCATCGACCGCACGCTTGGCGCTCAAGGGCATTTAAACTCCAGTCTTTTGTTCCCCTTAAATGTCTGATAGCTCTTCCACTGTTAAAAAAGCAAAAAAGGGACTTGTTTTATTTCCGTTTCGCCCACAGCAGAGGCACAGATGGACATTGGCGTGTTTTAATGACAGTAAAGTTATATTTTAACGCCGCCTCCGCTTGCGAGTTCGTCTCCAGCAGAGTCCTTCATCTGTGACGTTGTGCTTTCTTCCATTCGCCAGCAGAGGTCGTCGCTGGGCTGTTGTGTCTAAACCGTGCGTGTTTCAGTGCAACTGTATTTGGCATTATACTTACACGGGTGCATAGTATGGTGAAAAGTGTTTCTCATTAGTCTCTCAGCATAGAAATAGAACAGCAGACAAGACAATACACCGTAATACAATAAAAATAACAGTGTACAAATCAGTATGGTGCCAGTGCACAATTGTCAAGAACTGTGCAAATCTGCAAACAGAGAAAAGTATACAAGCAGGACAAAAACAGTGCAAAAGTAATACAGCGATTAATAAATTGTACAACTAGTACAGTTTTAAGTACAATTTAGGCTTACATTCAGTTGTCGTGTACGCAGTGGTGTAGGAGTACAGTCATTGTGGGTACAGGAAGAAGTGAGGAGAGATCAGAGTATGATGGGAGGGAGTGGGGGCGTCACCAGCTTGACGGCTCTGGGGAAGAAGCTATTTCGGAGTCTAGTTGTGCGCGACTGGAGTGTCCAGAACCTTCTACCAGATGGTAGGGGGACAAACAAGTTATGAGTGGGGTCAGACATAATTTTTGGTGGCTTTTGTCAGACTGCTGGTGTTGTAGGTTTCCTGGATGGATGGTAAGGCACTGCCGATGATGTGTGGGGCAGTTCTGACCACCCGCTGCAGTGCCTTGCGGTCGGATGCGGTGCAGTTGCTCTGCCCCAACGTGAGGCACGAATTCTGTTCTCTGAATTGCATTAACAAGAGGATAATTATAACACGAACTTTATTTCTTGTTTGTAGCTCTCTTACAGCTCGGGACCTCCAGAGCAGAAACAGTCACTGGTTGCCCTCGTTGTTGGCCCTGAAGACCTCTCCCCCTCTCAGGTGAGGACGCTGTGCTGCCTGACCTCCTCTGAGAGATGCTTTGCAGGGGAACGGCTGCCACATAGTTGTTCATTTGCACAGTCTTGATCACATTGTGCTAAAATGCAATTTTTGTATTCTTTTCACATTAAGCCTGCAGTGAGCATACTGTAAATGTAGAGGAACAAGCAAAAGGTTTATTCCCTGCAGAAAAGAAACAACGTTTCAGCAGCAGAGGCTTCTTTGGGTATGCTGTAAATGTAAATTGAATTGAGTGCAGTTGTCATAATATTTAGGATCAATATTCAGATTTTTTTATTTGCTTTCCTCTGTGTACATGTATATACTGTTAAGGTAGTCTGCTCTTAATGTGCCGGTTCCAGTGAATTGGCTGGCATCGAGGCTGCATTAATGCTCATTAGTTTACTGGCTTTGCTCTCAATCGACGCCTGTTCTCGTTAAGTTCAGTTCAGTTTATTGTCATCTGCACATGTGCAAATGAAATGCGCATTTGCATGTGTGCTCCGATAAAAAGACATTAAGGAAATGCCAAAAACATAAACACAGAACAGCAGCAGCAGCAGCAGCAACAGCAAGTTAAATAACATACATCTTAGAAAAAAACACATCAGTGTGAGTGAGTGGCAGGGGTAGAGTCCAGTATTCTGACAGCTGGCGGGGTGAAACTGTCTCTGAGTCCAGACATTCCTGCCTTTATGCTCCTGTAATGCTTCCCAGAGGGAAGGGGGGAGAAAAGTGAGAAACCAGGATGACTGATTTCCTTAGCAATATTTCCAGCCTTTCTGAGCCAGCGAGTTGTAAAAATGTCCACAGTAGAGAGGAGCTGTACCCCAATGATGGACTGGGCGGACCTGATCACCCCCTGTATCGCCTTCCAGTCACACAACGAGCTGCTGCCAAACCCCACTGTAATACCACACGTGAGCACACTCTCAATAGCGCACCTGTAAAATGTGGAAAGGACCGCTGAAGGACAAGTTACAGCAGGGAGGTACAATTAAAACTAACAACAGCAGGCAGATCCAGGGGTGGCAGGAGTCTGGGACCAGCTGCTCAGCCGTGCTGTTGAAGCTGACACTCTGGCTTCAGATCCAAGAAACGACTGGATAAGAAACTCAGGACAATTATCTACGACCAAACGAGCCACATGCATAAAAGCCCTCTTCTCAATTTTAGCCTTAATTTTGTCTCATTTGTATTTGTGATCTTACGCAGCTAATTTTTTTCCCAGAATGTGTCCTTTCTAGTGTCCAGTCAGACAGAGCAGCTGCAGTTGGCTTGACCTGAGTTATTCTAAAATTTTGCTTGCTTTTAGCCGTAGGGAATTTTCCTGGTCTCCAATCCTCTTGTCCTAGATCCAACTGGCAGCTGGTTAAAGTAATGATTTCTTCCCATTCCTACAGCTGTACTCCACCCCAGATATATCCCTGTAGTGGCTTCAGGTGGTGCTTTGAAGCACAAGTCTACAAGATCTCTGGCTGTGAAGAAAGAGACTTCAGAAGTGATTTTGCTTGGGCAGTGTGGTCAGAAAAGATGTTATTAAAGGCTGCTTGTCTTATATACTTATTCCTCCAAGTCAGATGGCAGTAGACGTGTAGGTATGCAGTGCGTGTCTCTGTGTATTGATTGGCCAGCAGCTGATGTCTGTATTTTCTCATCCGAATGCGTCTCGGGAGCAGAGCGGAGCCCAAGAAGAAGAAGAAGGTGGACCCGAAACGCGAGCTGGCTGCCAGGGACCGTCTGAAGAAGAAGCTGAAGAAGCTGGAGAAAGTCCCCCCTGAGCTCATCCCCATCGAGGACTTCATCACCCCAGCCAAGTACCTGGATGAAACGAGGTACCCCGTGCCAGTAGCCTCTCACCCTAGGCGTTGTGAGGTGCAACAGTTTAGATGTCCCATTCAGCTTTTTTTAAACTGGCTTAAAATGTGTTCTAATTCCTACCCACTGCTTGCAGGTGAGGCCTGTCGTGTTTGAAGAAAAGCAGGTTTAAGCACAGGGTGGCCAAAGTCACGACAACACAGTTCACACCCAGGCCTTCAGCAGTCACGCTGATTAGTATTTCAAAAGGGCTTCTGTATCATGTAGCGAGACATTTGCTGCAGAAGATGGGGTCGAGTCTTTCATCGGGGAGGTCAGGGTTGCAGACGAGCTATTGATTCGGGCATGTTGGAGTGTCAACACAGAGTAGCAACGTGAAAGCATTCTTATTGAAGGGGATCTGCTCTCAAGATTTCTCAGTGCTGCTCTCGGTTATTAAAACCGGAGAACAAACATCGACAGTATCGCAAAAATGTCCAAAGTACTGTAAATCGCCATGTTGTTGCAAACCCCCTGGTCTTGACGCAGGCGAGAGAGTTCACAACATTTGTGACGGGAAGCAGCCCTTCCTGCTCACTAGTCACGTCACTGTAATGACTGATGTACGGGGGAAATAAGTACAGGCTGTGCAGCAGATATTTCACCACGGACATGTTCCAACATGATCTGCACGCAGAGTTAACAAGTTCAATTTAACAGCAAAACCATCTTGAAGGCGAGGGCAATATTGCATACGAGATGTATTCACAAGCCTGCTTGTTTACAATGTAATAGTGCTGCACCATGTCACTGGAAGTTTTGTTGCCTCATTCTGAATCGCAGGATGTGGTGCTGTGTATACCTGGAAATGTCGTCTATTTAGTGATGTAAATTGGGAGGTTTTACAAGTAAAACTTACACAGTAACTTTGATTGTGGTTTGAAATGCACTCATAGGTGCTGATTTTTTCTAACCCCTGAATAAAAAATAGCACTTCCCAGTTCCCAGTTTAAGGTGCAATTTTTTTTAAACCAGTCACTTTAAGACGTACCTTTCCAGCAGCACCTGTTTCATGATTTAATCTAAAGGTCAGTAGGTCACTGTAGTGGGGTCCCCCCTCCTGCTCGCTCATGCCCTGTGGCTGTGTTCCTCCCCCGCAGGGTGCGCCTCCCTCCCCAGCTGTCGTTCGAGGAGAGCGAGCGGCGGGCCCTGCTCCTGAAGGAGTGGGCTCGGTACAAGCAGTCTCAGCACGAGGCCGAGATGAAGGCCATCGGCTCAGCCCTGGAGGCCCAGCGGGAGGCCCTGGAGGAGCTGCGGCTGGAGTCGGAGGAGCTGTACCAGGCCGCTGTCCGGCCAGACCTGGAGCTCTTCCCCTTCGAGCGCCAGGGGCCGAGCCACACCCCCCCGAAACCCGGCTACCAGGCGCCCGATGGCAAATACAACGACATCACCAAGGTCTACACGCAGTAGGCGGCAGATGAAACAGGGATCCATTCTGATCCAGTCCAGGCTTTCCAGTGACTCACATGAAGGCTTAGTCAGAGGCCCCGTCTGCTCAGCCACTGGTAACAGCCGGGTCGGACTGAAGAGCCGAACTGGACTACACGGAGTTGCGGACTGCACACCACGAGCTTCTCCATGTGGACAGGTGTCTCAGACTCACACTCGGGGGTGTGTCCCACGTCGGAACATGTTTTCATTTCACCTGGACAAAAGCAGTGTTTCTCTCCAGGCATGCAACTGTAAAAGCAACCGTGACCTTGAAAGCAATATATAGACCTGCCTAAAAACGACTTCACTTGAGAACCCAGGATTGGAAACAAGATGCCCTCCAAGAGCTCACCATTTTCTGTCTAGATATTTAATAAATTTATATAAAATTCAACACCGTTTTCTTGTTT